ATATGTATCAATATTTTATTGGCCTATCTAAATCTTTTTTTAAAAATTTTGTCTCTAGGTTGAAGTGGTGACATGTCATCAAGTGAAAATTTCTAAAATAATCACTTGTCATCAAGTTAAAATTTTCACTTAATCTAACAAATGAAAATTCTACTACAGAGTCAAATCAATCATAACTAACATGTAATCAACATATTTACTCATTAAAATTTGATATGATACAAAATAATAATATTAATTCATATTTTCTAAAATTATTTTAATGATTTTTTCAAGTATAGATTTGATAGCTAAATTTAATCCTACTTAATTATGATTTGGTCATATAAAAAATAACCATCAACAATTTTTTGATTGATTTTACAACTAAATTACATATATATTTACAAATATTGTAAAAGAAATATGTTTTTTCTGTTAGATCATTAAATCCATAATGATCAATGTGCATATGAACAACATGTGTGAATGAATAATGGAACTTTGTCAATACCAGAGTATTATAAATATAATTTTCTTTCAATGATCTTGTGTAATCATCTTAAGTCAATTAAAACCATTTTTAAGTACTTGAAAATTTTTTTTAGGTACTTAAAGATAACTCAAGATGTTATTATAACTACATTATAGTGGATTATGTATAATTTTCACCTTAGCAATTTATGAGTTTGGTAGATAAAAAATTAAAGTGTTAGTTGACAATAACAAGTTAACAATCCGAATGCTTGTTAGTTAAAGATTAAATGTATCAGTTAGTGTGTTAATTGAGAGCAAAAATTATCAACAATTCATGTGCTTGTTAGAATTATTATCAATATTTTGAAAATGAAATGTATAATGAAAATAAGATCTTATCTTCTTGAATCTGTTGGTAAAATCTATATAAAGAAGAAGAAAACCCTTCTAAATATCTCTTATATTTAAAGTTGTGTTTTATCTTTGACTGAATCTCTTTGTTAATCCCTAGTGATACATCTAGACTTATCAAAAGAAACCTACTTATGTATAATACTTTTCATACATTTATGAATTTCAAAACACAAAACTCTTCATAGCACTAGCATAGTTATGAAGAGAATACATCTTGGAAGTATTATCCAAATCATTACTATTTTTTTAGATATAAAAATATAAGCACTAAAATCAAATTTTTTAAATTACTTCAAATACTTCTCTATTTATGTTTTATTTACGTGACATCATTCAAAATATGTCAAATAAATGATTGCACTAAAAAATATATACTAAAAATACTACAATATTGATTACTTTAGTTCAAAATTTATGTAATAAACTTGATTGAAAACATAGTGAGCACAAATTCCAACAAAGTTTCAATTGAAAATCTTAGATATAACGTTCTTTTGAAATTGCGGTGCAATTTTGAATTCCTGTTAAGCATTTTCATATCTGCAAAACTACATTTTTTTTCCTACTCTATCTACATGTAAATCAATGACCTCGGCCAGCTTCTATATACTTTCAAAAATTACTCTATATCATAATTCATTTGCTATTCTATGAGGAATAATCCATACAATAAGAAAGAGCGTCGGGACTATGGCATCATTATCGAAGCAGTGTTGGAACGTTTATTGTGTCGCAGCACGCACAGGGCCCGAAGGACCGAATACGAAGAGCAGGCGGCTAGAAGGAGAATTGTCTTGCTTTCACGGACACTCCAGCGACCGACCGGCCGGGCTCGTAGCTCCCCATGGGTCTGGTCCGGCTCTCGATTCAAAGAGCAGGGCCCGGTTCTGGCGAAGCAGATGTGCTTCGTCCATCAACAGTGCTGCAGCAGTATAGCGCATGCATATACAGCATGTCGCTCTCGCGTCACGTCTGAGTATCAATACCAACTCCCGAGAGTCTGAGATATTCATTTCCTTCCTGTAATTACTGAATAACTCGTGTAATTCAAGTTCAAGAATCTAATGTTTAAGCTCTAAATTCTCTACCCGTAATCTAGAGGTTAATTTTGTGAAGCTCAACTTGTTCGAAGAAAACAATTTCGCCTATTATTAAAGTCCACCGGTCACTGCGCTGGCGGAATGACTTTCATTTCCTTTTCCCGTCCTCATCCTTGATGCTCGCTATTACTCTCCATTTGTTGGAGCTGAAGAGCTTTTGCAATTAAGCTTGATACCATCGTACTCATGTGTATGTCTCTAAAGTGGCATGATGTGTAAATTTTTCACTTCGAGGAAGTGAGGATGAATCCTACAGGTCCTCGAAGTAAACAAAATTCTACCACTCCCATCGCATGAGAGTAATTTTTCTGGTATAGTAACCTTTGACAAAACGCCGCACCGGGTGGAAGTTCTTGCCAATCATTCCGCACATGCTCTCAGTGAACAATTATTAGTCGTCTTCAACATGGCTATGTCATTACATGACCCCGGTGAAATTGCACTTATTTTAGGCAAAATGTAAAGAGCAGTTGACTCAATGAGAATTGAACCTGAGTCCATGGATGCAATTTCAATCTCTATGAACTTAAATAGAAATGAACATTCTATCGTATTGGGATTACATTTGCTGGAGATGAAGATGACAAAGTATCAAAGTAGTTTAAAGTATCACACTAGAGTGAGTAATACTCCTACAATTTCCACTAGAAACAATAATATAAGCTATAGTTAGCTTAATAATTAATTACTACATTACTTTAGCCCTTGAAATCCAAACGAATTCACAATAGAAATTTTCGATATAAATTATGTTTTTTCCATAAGATGGATGTTCTATTCATTGGATTGTGGAATCAATCCAATGAATCATAACTTATTTGGGATATGTTTGCTCAACCATAAAGTAATGATAAAAGTATTTAACATGTTTAAGATCCTAGCTTGATGTCATGAAATTAATCATGAGCAGAAGATCATTGTACTACTTGTCACACGTTACTCTGTGAAGCGTGTAGTTCTGCCTCAAGACCTTGCAACGAGAAGATGTAGTGTTTGTTGAGTAAGTCAACTCTTTCGCATTTCATGGCAAAATCTGCGATCACTTACATGGACGCAATTACATGCGCTGAGGCACAATTGCACGCAATGATGCATCGCCAGAAGATCTGACTCATCGTTGAATTTACCGAACACGCAATTGATACGGATCTGACTGTCTCGGTTCCACATCGGAACCGAGACAACTTTCGTTTTCCTGTCTTCGACTGCGAAATGACGATTTGACTGAGCATCCAGGGTGACCAATGAGAGCTGCGGTAGATTCAAAGGTCCTTCCGGGTCCAACTAACGACCACTGTGAATCGATTCGTGCAGGGCAATGTACACTACTTTGGAGCCCCGATCGGAAATTCGTGCTTCAGACCTTGAAACACGGTACACTGTTACGGTCAAAATCGATTTGTCGTAGTTCCCGACTATGATCGCACGATGTCGCAGTGCAGTCAACTGGAAAGCCCCAGGGGTCTCGTTTCTATTACATACGAGTGCGTCATGTCCAGATTGGGGATCGAAAAAGTCGGATCATTTTAAATCAATAATAACCTGCACAGCTCAAGCCTTGAGCACACGTCAGGTAGTTAATTGAGTTATCAACGGACAGATAAATAACGAGTACCAATTAAATAGTATAGTAAACAAGTCCTTTTTGTGCCTCGCTGCACTCAGCTCCAAACCGGAGTTTGATTTCGATTTGGAGTCAAACTTCTCTCTGAAGCAGGGAATAAGCTGACTAAGAAATGCATTTCAAGGAGCATTTCTTCAACCGTGAATAATTTTTTGTTTGTCAAATCTAACCAAAACTTGGTGTAAGCAAATCATATACATTACGTCATTTCTGAATAAATGAACATAATTTTAATAGCATGGATGGTCGCAGGTAATGCTATGGGTGGTCATGGGCAAACTCTGAACCCCACATCCAAATACTAGGAAACTGTAGGTTATTATACCCGCGGAATTTATACCAGCATGTCGTGAAAAACTTTTACGAGGTGCAAAAACTTTACGTAGAGAAAGCTTCCTCTATATTTATATATATATATATATAGACTTCCACGGTCACCTTCAACTATAGTTCTAGATTCTAACCATAAATTACATCTATTACAGAATTGTTTACCCCATCAATCGATCTGGGATCGTACCAAATTGCTTCACAAGGCTGACGTCAAACCCCCTCATGTTCAGTATTACCTTCCAGGTTTCCCTTAAGCATTTTGATTTTTTCTCCTAGGTTATCTTGTTTAACTCTTTCATCTCAAAAAAAAGAGTTTGACAAAGTTCAGGTGTTTGTCACATTCTAATCGAGGACAACATCTTCTCCCAGCTTTTGGTTTCGTTTGACTTCAAAGTTAGTTTGGTAAGGAGGTGTCATCAAGATGATGGAGACAGATTGGAGAAAGAACTCGGTTCAAAAGCAGAACCTGATGCTGGTGGGATCACCGTCGACATGTGCGCCTGCATCTGCATACAACCGGACTCCCAGGTAAACATCCTGAGACTCGTCACGAGATGGCTTGGATTATGCTGTGGAATGCTCAGGCATGACCTTCGGTTTTGAGCTGGGCTTAGTACCGTTGCTATATATAAGACAGTATCTTCGTCGTTAGTCTTCTAAAAGCTCGCGTCAAAATGACTGCGGAAAATCAGAAGGCACATCTTTCAGCTACTCTTCACTTTCGTGCTGTCTTCAAAGTCTACTCATTTCTCTTCCGATCAGCCATTCGGCACGGACCGGTTCTCTCATGATCAGTTCTTTTTGTTTCTCGTCTCAAGAAAGAACCGGAAAACAAATTTCCTCATCTGTATATATCATTTTTAGCTCTTCGTCCTTGTGAGCGTGGGGTACAGCTGATCCGCTGCTGAATTATAACTTCATACGTTGATTGGCCTAGTTGCAAGGTGTAACGAGATACGCAAGAACAGATCCTGTCCTCCATGTAAAGCAAACATATTCATCTCATGAGTAAGCATTCACCTATAATGCGTATTAACAATTCAGAACTGAGAGTATGAGTCTTCACAACAAACGTCAACAGAAAGTCAAGTTTCGGTATCATAAGAATTACCACCTTACGAGTACAAAGTTCAGGTTTGGCAGTTGGTTGCCAATTCGTAGATCAGTCAGCAGGCATATACAAAGACAAAGAAAAAGACTACTGTATGGATTTACACTGGCAATGCTGGCCACTTGACAACAACATTGTGCTTTGAAAGACGTAGCAAACCGGCCCGTCCTGTCTAAATGTGTAACAACCTGAAATCCCTTGCTAAAGCCGAGCAGTTACAGCAATATCCGTTATATGTCACACCACCACACCAGACGGACTGTCACTGCCCAGCTGCCAATTGAAGGCTATACCCTACCAAGCAAAATCCACAACATGGTCTGGATGTTGTTTCCAAATGTTTGCAAAGCTTATCCCACCTATGAAATCGGACGCATTGAAATCGCAATTAAAACTCACTAATCAATGCGCCTTTAAGACATGTCATTTCCGGCCAGTCAAAAGGAATGCCTTGATCTTACTTCTCCAACTAGTGTTGCCCTGTATTTGTTCCAGCTTCTGAATAATACTGTTGAAATCAGGTCTCTTTGAGGAATCCCTGTCCCAACACTCCTCTATCAACCTGCAAGGAAAAGCCTCACTTTAGAACTTTGAAGGTAGCACAGAGTTCAGCACATGAACGAAGGCGATATGGACATAACCTGATGACCTTAGAATTCTGAGAGCTGGATCTTTTGCCCAATTAAGTTCTCGTTTGAGATCCACATAATCAGAATAGCCAATAAGCGTGATGATTAAAAGTAGCTCCATAAGTACTTTACGAGACTTTGATTCCAAATTTGAATCAAACCGATGTTCTCAGGAGGCACGGGATGTCATGATTTGAAGCAAGCAAGGCAGCCATCTTACTCTTTCAATGAAGCTGGATACCGCCGGCCTCCATGCTTGAATGGCGGTCTTTTATTTTGATCGCAGGCATACATCCCAGCAACATCAACGTCTTCGGTTACTTCATGAAAAGGACGGTGACCTTCCATCATCTGCGATTCAGTGAAAAGCTTCAGGTATCCACTGAAAAACGGATGATACTGCTAAAACCAAGACTGCACAAAGGCAACAATGTTCCACATTCACTCAGATGCAGACAACAAAGTCTGGATAAGAGGGAGGAAGAGACTTACCTCCTGAAGTATGATACCAAATGAAAAGACATCGACAGACTTATCGTAAGATTGACGCTTGTAAATCTCAGGAGCCATGTAACGACCTGAAATGTATTCGAAGACCCGAAGTTAGCTTCTCGACCTGTAAAGTCATAAGCAAATCTTCAACTATGAATCTTATATGACCCACTGTGTAACCAAGTCCAGCATGATTACCTCTTGACAGAATCAAGAGTATAGCAAAAAGTAAAGAAAAGCAGTGCTGCAAGAGATTGGTCCTACAACTTAGACCCAACATACTTATTACAGCGTTAAGATAACTCACAGAAACTTCCGGCGTGTTTCACCGAGACAGAATCCTCGACAGGCTCTACATCCCGGATGGATTGACTCAAGCCGAAGTTAGCGACTTTGATGTGCCCATTTAAATCCCGCAACAGCAGATTGCTGATACCTTGATGAAAAGTCCCATGTGAGCATCAAAAAAAAAAACTTCACGATCTGACGGCGAGAATTCAAAATTTCATGTTCGCTAGACCGCTCAGCTATGAAAGGTACATGCTACATTGTACAATTCTGTTCTTCACTGGTTGCGTTATCAAATACGATGGTGACACAAGGTCTTCAGAGGCCAAATCTCAGACTATGACTCACCTAGGTTTCAAATCGCGATGAACGACAGCTTCTGGTTTATGTGCATGCAGGTAGTTCATACCCCTGTATCGAAAAAGAACGCGGTTTTGTAAGAACTCTGAAAATACCAACAGCTAAACTGCACATGACAGGAATACGGCAACTTTCGAGACCAAGAAAATCAGTCCATCATCTTCTTCTGAACTTTAGACTGCATAAAATGTCTGATATAATTAGCTACAAAATCGGCTGAATCCTTAAAGGTCATATAAAGCCATATTTCCATTCATGAAGACCACATGATAGTAGGTAGTTTCACTGTGTATGACGGCTAAGTAGTAATTTCACCAGTTTTTAGAAATGATATTCACTTCAGTGAAACACGTACCTGGCAATATCCAGGGCTAAACAGACAGCCTTTTGTGGCTCCAATCGCCCTGGATTCTTCTCCATGTACTTTTTCAGGTTACCCTGAAAGACAGCAATATTGTGAAAACCATGATAAAGGTTCTGACAGAGGTGCAGAAATTCGTCAATTGAAATGTTTATTGGTGGTAGAGCTTGACACAACCACAGATTGTAAGAAGCGATTGCCAGCATCCGTAAGGTAATCATCCACTTAATGTGAAACAAAGAACTTCAACTGAGGCGACGTTCCCAAGCAAAAATATGTGGCATATATGTTTTACAGCAAAAGCCCAGAAAATTAAGCATTTGTCATCTTCTTGACAGGGTATAGAACCATACCCCCCATAGAAACTCTGTAACAATCATCATGGGGCTTGTCTGAGTGACGGCACCAAGAAATTGCACTACGTTGGGGTGGCGAAGCTTCAGTAGTAGAGCCAACTCATCCTTAAATTTGCGTCTGATCATATTATCAGGAAAATCAAACTCTCGAAGAATGAGAAAAGGAGAATATATGAAAGACTCCTCATTTCCAGCCCAAATATGATAGAAGTCAAGGTCTCTCAAGCAAAGTGTTGTTATATTGTGAAAACAGACTTCCTAATGTACTCAGATCGAGTAAGTGAAGACAGTTGGCTCAAATAGGCATATGACATAGCAATACATACATCTGTATCTCGTTGGAAGCGATTCCAGGGAGAAACTTAACAAAAACCTTTGTTCCCTGCCATGTGGCAACTCTGTACAATTCACCCTGTGTTTAAGAGCAAGTTAATGGTAAATGGTAATAGACCAAGCCCGGGGGACCCAAAGGGTCAAAAGTAAACACATCAATGACTACACGTCCTCACCTACACTTGATTAAAAACACACATGAGTCTATTAGCCAGTTATGAGGCGAAACTTCTCCTATGCGAGACCTGTTAACATTTTCTGTAAAGTTTCCTCGAATTTGCGATATCTCGAAAAATTGAATCGAAGTAGGAGGGAAAATAGAAATCTCAATCAACCGCCTAGAACATTAGACGAAAAAGTGTTGCATGAAAACCGAGATACTGGAGAAAGGCCAGACTAATACCTTTGCAACATGAGAGTCTTGGTCGCAATCAAAATTCAAAGTTGATTGATTGATTTCGTATTCAGGAACCAGAGCACTTGATATGCGCATTAGCGAATTGCGAGCATTTTTCTGAATGCAACGACCAAAAAAGAGGGGTTAACTTGGATGTGCAGAATAAGCATCGCAATAAACAACAAGCAGGACAGGTAGGAAACGCACCGCCAACTTCCCCTTATTCGCCTCAAGCAATTTGCATATCTCTATATTCCCGTAGTGTTGTGCATCTGCTAAAGGCTGGCAAATACACCGAAGAGAATTAGCAAAAAAAGTGCAGAGACGCCCATCATATGAACTCCTCTCTTGGCACCATGATTAAAAATGTATTTGTTAATACAAATTAGTAGCTCAACATCCCATACCATAAGCATTCTAAACGACACTTTCATCGGCATGTTTACAACACAGAATAAATCCTACGCTTATTATTCCAGAATTTATAAAGTAATAGCTCGACAATACATACCGTGCTGCCCCAACGATCCTCAGCGTTAACATCAGCCCCTTTTTCAATCAAAAGCTTTACAACCTCAATCCAATTCTCGCATGCTGCCACGTGCAAAGCTGTGCGCTGATCAAAGTCTGCAGCATTGACATCGGTGTTCTTGGCAATCATAGCCTGTACCCCTGCCACGTCTCCCTTGGATGCGTAGAATAGGAGTTGCAATGTGGCGTCGAGCTGCTCTGCAGAAAGAAGCTTTTGAGACTCCTCTTTGGTGAGTCCATTGGACCGCTTCTGTCCGACTGGTGCTAGCGACGATTGCCTTAAAAAACTGAACCTCCGCTTAGAGGATATGTTATCCATGGACCTTAAATGGTACAAAAGGAAGATCTGAAAGTATCAGCCACCTCCGAACTGGAAAAAATAGAAAGACAACGGACATCAAAACTGCAAACGATCAGCTCTGCGAGGTGACAGAACCAACTACGAAAACCAAGCAACATCAGATTCAAGTAATGACAAACACAGTACTGTCTGTCACGTGCTAAATAAAATGAACTTCAAACACTTTAGGCGACGTTACATTGATAAAGACAACTCAATGTTGACTATGCTTATAGTCTCTTCATTACAAGAACATAAATTCACTAATAGCAGATTACGAAAATGTCGAAAAATCAAGACGCATATGATACGTCACAATTGTATGGCAAGCCTAGAGTCTTGCCTGCAGACTATTAGCAACACTAGCTCGTGTAAAGGGTTTCTGATCGGTGTGTACGAAATCTTATGCCAAAATTTTGAGACAAAAAAGGCATGTATGTTTCAATGTTAATGTCGCCCAGGAAAACTTCCCCGTGCAACGAATCGCAAAAAAGTGAAAGATGTAAGGAAAAGAATACCTGAGGATGCTTTTCAGGATGTTAGCACCGTTAAGACAACAGTAGTAAGAGAAGTAAGAAACATTCAAAAAAAATGATGAAACTAATTACAAAAAGAATAGAATGCCGACTCGAAATCCATGAAATTGTGAAGCTTTACTGATCAGCGTAAAGAACTCATTGTTCCAGCATTTATATCAAATCTCATTGGACAAGGTGTACCAGCAAAAATGTGCCTGAGTACACTCAGCCTACGATAGGGTTTTGCAAAATACTGCTTCAGGCAGTCAGTCACCCACATTAGCCAAGGGAAGATGTACGGAAAAACTAGGGGAATCTAAACGAAATTAGCACATCATGGTCTCTGATCTCGACAAAGAAATCTGCACAAGACTAAGTGTCAGATAAGCTTTCAGATACCAGCAAACGGCGTACAACATTCACCATTGTAAGATGAATTGTATAAACAACAGCTTGAGATTCACTGATTTGTGAGAATCTAAACCAAATCATGAGAGGTGGTGAGAACTCCACATGAACCTTTCTCCCACGTCAAAGTGAAACGAAGAGAACTGAGATGTCACACTTTGTGTGATATCCCACCAAGTGAATGTAAGCATTGGCAAACTTCACACAGGCAAACTCTCTGAACACAAGCCCCTTGTGAATTTTGTGGTTCTCGATATCTTAGAAAAGTTCTGACTCTAATGTAACAAAGTCATCAATTCAACTTTGACCTCGGTCATTGAACTCGTTCTAGACGACTTGGTAGAGTCCACAAGCAGATCGAAACTTGACAGCGTATAAACAGGTCCTTTCAGGTTTGCCCGGATTTGCTACCACGTCACGTTTGTATGAAACCAGAATTCACGACAAATACGGATCTTAGAGTCAGGAAAATAGTCCTCTGGCCTCCATCACCATTAAAAAATAAGAAATTTGGCAGTGGAGAAACTTAGAGGGGAGAGACTATAGCTTGTTAACAAACGAACAACCACATTGCTTCCATTGCTGATCATGACTCTCACTGCTTCTCAAGGTTTTGAGCTCTAGCTCTACAGATCTATCAACAAAGGTAGCAGGACAAGCCATAAGCAAAGTTCTTAGTTACATCTTGATCGATTGAGGTTGAAAGAGAAGGGTCCTGGAAGAGGCTCCACTGTACCTGATCAAATTCACCGCTCTTCGCAATTTTTCTATCACATCAAACTTGCTGTGGGAGCTGACTTTGGGGGCCTCTCTGACCAGCTCTGACATTGCGCTGCTTCTCTTCCCTGTTGCAAAACAGATCGGATTTCGCGCACCTCAATACGACAACTGTTGTCTACGTCAAACACCAAGTATACAATCCAGCTCTAACACACAATACCCCATCTCTTGCATGATGTGTGTCAACTGCACCAGCGTCGATTGCTCAACGGAACGTCAAGAAGTCAACCAGAGAGCCCAATCGTCAGGAATCCTCCACTTTTGCTCTCGCCGCCAATCTCCAGTACCACTTTCTATGTCTTAACAAGCCAAATCCCGCAATACACAACGGAAGACAACAAGATCCACTGGCACGTAACGTTTGCAAACCGACTCCACAGCCTGCCTGCCTCCCTCCGGCACCCTCTCGCCCAAGTCTTGCACGAATCCGAACCATACCACTCGCCTGGCTGCACTCTGCACTCCACTCGTCTCACTCCCAACCCACTCGATGCTTTCCAACGGTTTCAGGCTGCCTATCAAGAAGCAAATAGGAGAAAGAAGTCACGGAAATGCTGTCATCACCTTCGGTACTGCGAGGTACAAAGTACGCCCCATTGACCCACCGCCGCTAAAAAAGCCGAGCCCCGCTCAGGACGAAAGCTTTCGTGTCACCTCGGACCCTCCCGTCGCCGCCCGTCCCACTCTCGCCCCTAGCGGGGGCCGTACTTACGCACTCACTCACTCACTCACTCCCTGACGACCAACAGGCCAACCATACAAACAAACACGCAACAAGCTTGTTTCTTAATTGGTCGGCAGCAGCGGCAGCAGCAGCAGCAGCAGAAATCCTCCTCCACTTCCTACTCCTCCTGGCCTCTAGACCTCATTCGCAAAAAGCCTTTGTCCTTTGGCATCATCATCATCGCTTGCAGCTCTGGAATTGCCGGCCTCCCTCGCTCCCTCCCTCTTTCATGTCACACGCTCCTGACTTTGTGCTCACTCTGGCACGGCACTCTCGCTCTCAACAGTAGAAAAAAGCACACTCCCCTCCCAGATTCGATCCATGGGCTGGCACTCCTCCCCCGGCCCTGTCATAACTCGTCTCCTCTCGCTCTCTCCCTCCCTCCCTCTCTCCCTCTCTGCCAGCCCGTGCGCCAGAGCTCTGCGGACTCTAGACAAGGCCCGTCGATCTACAACTAAATCGCATCTTCTCCCGCTCCCTCGCCTCTTAGTCCTCTTAGCCTCGCCTAGCCGTGACCACCTGGCGCGCGATATAAAATACTCTCGGCCGCCCGGGTCGCGAGCGAGCACGGGCCCCGTCCCTCTTGACGCTCCAGGCTCCAGCTAAACCCGCTCGTCCGAGCGTCCTCCGCGGCGCGTTCGCCGGCCCTGTGGCTGGCTCGCGGGTGCGGTGAATTGCCGGCGGCAACCACAGTGGACGATCTACTGTTACCGGCATCGAGCCGCAAACGTCCTCCCCGCGAAGCTGGAGCGGTGCCTGGATGGAGACCGACGGTCTTGCCGGGAAAAAACGAGCGATCAGAGGGGCGTCGCCGGCGATCGCGCCGGTTGTGTGAGCTGCTATTTGCGGCGGTGGGGGGGGCGAGAACATTTGCCCCGAGAAGTTGGGAACGCTTCTCCCGCGAACACGTGAGCGATTAGGTTTGCGGGAGCTACTTTCGGCAGTGTTTGCACTGCGCCCGTACTGCTGTTGTTGCCCCGCCCCCGACCGCAGCGTAGTCGGCGACTGGAGCCGGCGACGGAGTCACGGAGCTCTTGACGCTCTGAGTGGCCGGTTCCCGGTATCCAGGACTCCCGGCCCTGTCGACCTCGGATAATACGGTGCAGGCCGACAGGCCAAGGCTGGAGGGAGGATCATTGTCGAAATTCGGATCCTTTTCGTTGAACCCTTCGACGAAACTTCCGTCCGCGCTCTCGCGTGGACGGCACATGTGCCGCCAAAGCACCGAGCTCCGTGACGAAGGCCGCGGTCAACACTGTCACGATGAATAGTCCAGGGAACCGAACGGTATCCAGGTTTCGCCTTCGGCGAAACCCTTACGCCGAACACCTCCGGTAGCGGTCAGATCAGCCGCCCGCCGAAGTTACTGTCCTGAAGGCGGTCGAGCACCGCACGAGGAAGTCAATCGTCGACTGGCTACCACCCGTCAACGCTCCTGTCCGAAGCTCCGCGTGGTTCTGAACTCTGAAATGGCCCACTGTGTCTGTCCTCCACGATACCGAGCATCACCTGTCACCATCTCGGTGGCGCGAGTCCCACTGAAGCCCTCAGTATCAAGTCAGACCAAGACTTGGAAAGATTCATCGCCTATTGCTGCCGCAATCTTCTGTCCGAAGTCCTGCGTGGTCCTATGAGTGACACGGTTATGTCCTGCAATAGTTACCCAGTATTACCAGTCAACAGCTTCACTATGTTCTCTAACTTGGACTTGAAGAAAGAAGAGATTCCTACACGAGCTTCTCTCCGTCTAGTGCGTATTTCTAAGGAATGGAAATTGGCAGGGCAATCGTGCCGGTCATCCCGTCCTAAATCGCTTTCGGTATAAATTTCTGAGCACGTTCAATCTTTTGCTCGTGTAATCCTCAGTAATCCACGCGAGAAAGTGTGTGATGTGCAACCAGCGGGGCGTGAGAATGAACATCAACTGGACGAAACCTTTCAAAGCTTCCACTTCCTGAAGTGGACCCTAAGATATTCTCCACATAACATTTTGGAAACTCAGTAGAAGCTTGTTCGACGATATAAACATAGAGGAAATAAACCTATGTCTAGCAAATGGTGCTCTTGTCAGGTTTCAGCTTCGGAACTAAACATCCTGCAGGACTCCATGGATGTCACCAACATGGCACATGTTCATTCCAATCCTTTCAATACTTTAGAGATGATTTTTTACATAATGTTTATTCCACTGATGACAATCCTTCCATTTTCATCTGCATTGAATTCTTTGATCAAGGGAAAGTTTTTTTTCAGGTTTCAGGTCACGAAAATTTCACTTCCACGGAACGCTTAGACGTAGCTTTCCACAGCCACAACGAAAAAGAGAAATTCCTACCCGCTCTTTTGTTTTGTCTGAGATGCGGAATCAATGTTGTTGCACCTTCTATCTCCTCCTCATGCTCTCTCTCTCTCTCTCCTTCCTTTCACCTCACACGAGCCTGACTATCTGTACTTCTGAATCTCTTTTTACATCTTCTTGCATCTCCACGGGCGTCAGGTGCTCATCAAGCTGAAGCATATGCTACTTTCTACGTGCGAATTTGTCGTCGCATATGTGCTCCACCCGAATGGGAACAACGCCCTTAGGCCATCTCGATGAAAGTCATCCACCCTACAAGTGGATCACAAAAACTCCAACCAAGAAAGTCAAGCGTTAAAAAAACGCCTTTAACATTGTTCAGCGTGTCAGTGTGACTTTAAAGACAAAAAGTAAATGCTCCATTAAATTAAGCGAAGCTAGCTCCTTTTCCACAATTTTCAACTTTTGAAGACACGGACATCCAGCTTTTCAACATCTTGTTCAGAAAACAATCTTATCCGATCACCAATCCCCTCGTTAAAGAGAGCGGACGATTCTCTACGGCGACTGGGTAGGGTCCTAAGAAGTTGATGTCCACCCTAGTCTGCAAAAGGTTTCAGGTAAATCCCACTAGGCAGGCTTCTAGGCCCAATTGCAAGGATTGACTCAGATCATGTGGGTGAGCACATCGATAAACAGAATCTGACAAACATTTCTCCGTATCTACTTCCTGGAAATTCTCCTTCGAAAACTTTGACCGTGTTGCATTCGTCAGTATGTTGTAGTGTTTTCATGATGACAGTGGATCTGAATGAGAGTTAAGTGAATTCCACACATTTTGAGCCTAATAGTAGAAAAAGGAGAGCATTTGAACGGATCAATGAATGTGGATTATTCTCCAACCACCCAAAAATGAAACACTACAAATTTGGTTGCCCATGCATGACCCTTGTTCTCATTTTACTGGATTTGCCTCTTATAAAGCAAAATATTCCAATATGGGTAACTCGCTATGATGCAATGGTTGTAGAGTAAACTCAAGCGTGGTCCTTCGCCATCCTAAAAAAGGAAGGAACATCGAAGCTCCACTTTTACCCCGAGATCTCACTAATCTTCATTCTAGATCGTAACTTTCGAAATCCATGAGTCTTCCGTCAGTTTTTTCCTTTTTCCTTCTGACCGACACTTGCATTTTGTAATTGAATTGGAATTTAAGGAAAGGGAAATTTATGTACGTGCTTTTGTAAGATAGAAGTAATGAAAATTTCAACACAAAATCATGTAAAGAGACATTTTTCACAATATTTTGATTGTAGACAGGATGAAATGACATTTTTTGTGTCAAAATCAGGAGAAAGCGAGCCCAAGTGGATATTCATTGATATACCAATACCTCTTAATTCGTACAAGTATAAAACCTAGCGAGTTATAAGGTTCAGCCAGTATCCCTACTTAAGAATTGCAGTCTTAAAATCATTATAGAACGGTGATCTAATTCTTCTTTCGCTGAATTCTTTATGATTAAGAACTTATGGAAAAGAGAAATTTTATTTCCTCTTTAATGAATTTTATCCTACACTAATTTCTAGCAACTTAGATTTGAGTATGCGGAGATGTCAAAACTTGTCCGAATCTCCAGATATGATGTGGATGGCCAGTGTTACAGTACGTCTAGAATGTTGTGAAGTTAAGAGCACTTCTTCCAGTCAATGTTAAAGAATGTAGGCATTATGATTCAACCAACATGAAGCTCCAAGAAAATTCTTCACTCCAAAGCTTTGCATGAGGTAAGGAAACTCTATGACGCTCTAACTTCAACGGAACAAAGGACCCACTGTACCATGTGCACGACCTCTTTTAGGTACAACTTCTCCCTTAGTCACATGATGCTTCTACCGCACTTTATATTTTACACTCAAGCTCAAATCTTTTTCTCTATACTAGATTGAGAACATTACTATCAGAAATAGTAGTTAGAGGTAGAACTGGATTTAACACTTGAACTAGTTCAGAAGACATCGTTTACGTGCCAGCTACAACAAATTTCATATTTCGAAGTAATTAATCATTTCAAGTATCTTGGGCTAAACTTGTACACACAAAAATTATACATAAATTTAGAAGAATTTGTCCTTATAACAAGAGAAGTAGATACATGAGAAAATTGAAAGCGTTTGACAGAACGATAGTAGGCTTTTCATCAAAGCGTTGAGGGACAAGCAAGACGAAAGCAGGTGTCAACCCCAAATCAAAAATGTGTCTAGTCATGAGGCTTCTATCCACGATATTGATACATGGGTGATGAGGACTTCGTTCTCAGTACTGTAGTGAGTTGATCAAAATAGGAAAGAAGAATAGACATCTTCACTTCCTGATGATAGACCCCGGCTTTCGCTAGACTATATAACATTGTTATCAAATAGGTTCCATTTACTCTGATGAAGATCGGAAACCTCTAGACAAAGCCTGTGTCATTTTTATTTTGTTTGAGTAACCTTTTTTCAGAATTTAGAAACTGCCTGCTCTAAGTCATTTCCGACCACTTCCTTGAAGTAAGATGAAGACGTGTGCAGTCCGTAGGTCCGGACTGTTTCGGGGCTCCGGAGTCTTCTCCGTGGACATTGCAAGCTAAAAAGTTATTTTACCCCTTCAGATTCAATTCGAATCCTTATGTTATTGTGATAAGATTTTATAGGCCGACGATCTCAGAAATATCTAAAAGCTCGGAATTATATAGAAAATACTTTCAGAATTTTCCTTAAATGCGCTCGTGGAAAATTATCTTCATGTATAATTTTACTCCACTAAACTGAAATAACAATATATATATATGCATATATGAAATTATTAACAATGACAAAATTTTGATAAGCTCTCCTCTCTTAGGTTCATCATATACAGACGTTTTCCACTCTCTCCGGTCACCATTGATTACTGTAGACGAGGAACATCAATAATTCGGAGCTAGGTGAACAATCTCAGAAGACGAATCAAGCGATGCTAGCACTTTGGCGTATATCATTGCAAAGCGTTATTCCAGGTCTTCCGGGTCTTCCAGGTCTTCCGTTCTTTCTTATGTTAATATCTACCATTTTGCAAATGATAGATATCAACATAAAAAATGGAAAGACCCTCCAAGTCCTCCGTTTGTGAAAAAATGTTACTAGTCCAACCATGG